AAGTTGAAATCTCTTAGTAGCAAGATGTTTGGGACAGGATCTGGGAGATTTTCAAGACTGGGGACGGTTTTCAAAAGCTGCTCCTGGAAATGCTGGGAAGTTGCATCTGGAGGCTTGTATACAACCACAATGACAAGGTTTTGGTTTTCAGTCTTTACCGTCAAAACTTCAACTACATCATTTGAGGTGTTTAGTAGTTCTGAGCAAATGAGCGACTCTGTAATGTACAGGCCAGCCTCCCCCCCCCCCCTGTTGCCTGTTTAGTCTGTTGCATCTGAATAGGTTATAACTAGGGATCCATATTTCGTTGTCAAAATGGTCCTTTGTGTGGGTCTCTGTGAATGCTGCAAACATTGCATTTCACTCTGAGCAGTCCCTTGATGTAAGGGATATTTTATTGTTTGTTGACAGCTTTAGACCCCTCAAGGAAGGCTCCTTGACGCTGGTGAGGGGCTCTTGATTCAGAGAATTGGATCTGTGCTCCAGTTTCCTGAATTAAGCCTGAATACCTTTCACATCCCCCCCACAGGCGCTGTGTAATCCTACGGGTTTAGCGCTTCCCCCTTGATTATAATAATAATGACAGCTTTAGACCCTGTATGTTTGCAAAGACAAATGTCATTATATTGGTGGAATTTAGGGGAGTTTTATTTGCTGGCTCTAATATCTGTTGTTCTGAAGTGGAGGCCAATGACTGTGCCTCTGCTCCAGAAGTGTTTTCAGTTGGTGTAAGATTGCTGTCATTTCTTGCCAGTCTTTTTTTTCCTCCTGGCTCTAAAAAAAACCTCTTTCCCTGGAGAGGTTATGGCTCCCCTCTTTTGTTTCCCATAGTTTGGCTGGTCTGTGTCTTGTCCCCTTTAGATGATGTGCCTGGCAGTATGCATTGTAGCATTTTCTTTTATGGAGTGATGAGTGACACATTTCGGGGTGAAATAAGTTACATGGGCTCTGGTGGCCTGGTGGTTAACGCTCTCACTTCACACGGTGAGGGCCTGGGTTCGATTCCCAGCCAGAGTAGAAACATTGGACGTGTTTCTTTCCACCTGTTGTCTATGTTCCCCATCAGTAAAATGGGTACCTGGGTGTTAGTCGACTGGTGTGGGTCGCATCCTGGGACACTGACCTAAGGAGGCCTGGTCACAGACCGGGCCGCGGGGGCGTTGACCCCCGGAACTCTCTCCAGGTAAACTCTCCAGGTAAGGGAAGTTGCACTCTCTTGTTGTTATGTGGGTGCAGCATTTTTTGGGATGGCCATAGGTGCATGTCCCACTTGTTTTACCAGATATACCATGCCTGCAGATAGCCAAAGCATAAAATTTGCATAGATTGGGGTTCTGTTTGCTAGGATTTATTGCAGCTGCATTTGCTGGTGGTGCATTTTTTTTTTGTTTCCCCTCTGCCTACCGCACCTGTATGGACATCAGTGCTTCCACCAGGTTTTGCTGGTAGTGTGTCAACACTATTCCCTGAGGCATCATCCTCTTCTGTTCCATCTCCAGAAGTACTGCTATTTTTTGCCTCTGTAAATTGAATAACGTTGCCTTTACTTTGTTTCATCACCGGGGCCAATATCTCCTTTAGGTTCACTGTCCTCCAGGACAACACTAGCACTCTCAGGAACACTGTCTTCCAAGACAGCCCTGTCCAACCCACCCATTTTATTTTCTCAGCTGTCATATCATACTGGCATGTCTTCCAAGAAGGATCTTTTAATATTGTTCATGTCTTTTAATATAGATGTAATTTTCTCATACAGGTGTATCTCATTTGGGCAGACCCAAAAACATTTCTCTAATTTTATCAGATGTGGTTGCTGGTTTAAAATCCCTGCACACATCATGGGACCATTTACCACAGAGATGGCAAGCAATCCAGGCATGCTTTTGTCTGTGACCCTTTCTGCAGACTTCATTGATTTTCATGGTGGTGGTCATCTTACAACACTTTACAACTCTCTAGCTAGCTAGTCTATAATTCAACCAAGTTGTTAGCCATTTTGCTAGTGTGCCTTCTGTTTTATCGATTGAGGACAAGGAACTGACCATTCTTAATATCCGAGCGCAATTTTACTCAAAATTAACACTTTAGGCATTAATTTTGGGGGTCTTTAGAAGGAAATCTTATATTATGATTGTTTCAAGGTGTAATGCTCACCAAAACATGGGAATAAGTCACATTGTGCTTTTTGGCTGAATTTCACTGTTATTTTTTTATTTTTTAATTTTTATTAACACATTGGATGTTTCCCACCAAAGCAGGGTGGTCCGAAAAAGAAAAACTTTCATCATGTACTCCAGCACTGTCTTGCCAGATGCATGCTTACACTACAGTTATGAAACTGCAACATTAACACCCCTTCCTTCAGAGTGCCAGCACTGTACTTCCCATCTCCAAGAATCAAGTCTGGCCTGCCAGTTTCCTTGAATCCCTTCATGCATGTTACCTTGCTTACACTCAAACAGCACGTCGAATCCTAAAAACCACTTGTCTCCATTTGCTGCTATCTAGCATGTTTACATGCTTGCTGGAAGTCTAAGCCCCTTGCAAACAAAACCTCCTTTACCCTCTCCCTCCAACCATTCCTAGGCTGACCCTTACCCCGCCTTCCAGCTCCACTACAGATTTGTACATTCTTGAAGTCATTTTATTTTGTTCCACCCTCTCTATATGTCCAAACCATCTCAATAACCCCTCCTCAGCCCTCTGGATAATAGTTTTGGTAATCCCAAACCTCCTCTAATCTCCAAACTATGGATTCTCTGCATTATATTCACACCACACATTGTCCTCAGACATGACATCTCTACTGCCTCCAGCCTTCTCTTTGTTGCAACATTCACAACCCACGTCTCACACCCATACAAGGGCATTGGTATAACTATACTCTCATACATTCCCCTCTTTGCTTTCATGGATAAAGTTCTTCGTATCCACAGACTCGGTGCACCACTCGCCTTTTCATCACGTCAGTTCTATGATTCACCTTATCCTTGATAGACCCATCTGATGACACTTCCACTCCAAAATATCTGAACACATTCACTTCCATACTCAATCCCTCCAATCTGATATCCAGTCTTCCATTACCTAATTTTTTTTTTGTTATCCTCATCACCTTACCCTTTCCTATATTCACTTTTAATTTTCTTTTACATACCCTACCAAACTCATCCACCAACCTCTGCAACTTCTCTTCAGAATCTCCCAAAAGCACAGTGCCATCAGCAAATAGCAACTGTGACAGCTCCCACTTTGTGTTAGATTCTTTATCTTTTAACCTCATACCTCTTGCCAACACCCGAGCATTCATTTCTCTTACAACTCCATCTATAAATATGTTGAACAACCATGGTGACATCACACATCCCTGTCCAAGGCCTACTTTTACTGGGAAAGAATCTCCCTCTTACGTACATACTCAGACCAGAGCCTCACTATCCTCGTATAAACTTTTCACCGCTTTCAGTAACCTACATCCTATTGCATACATTTGCAACATCTGCCACATTGCGTCCCTATCCACTCTATCATATGCCTTTTCCAAATCCATAAATTCCACAAAAACATCTTTACTCTTATGTAAATACTACTTTTTTATTAACACATCTTCTGTTTCCCGCCAAGGCAGGGTGGCCTGAAAGGAAAACTTTCATCATCATTCACTCCATCACTGTGTTGCCAGAAGGTTGCTTACACTACAGTTTTAAAACTGCAACATTAACACCCCTCCTTCAGAGTGCTGGCACTGTACTTCCCATCTCCAGGAATCAAATCCAGCCTGCCAGTTTCCCTGAATCCCTTCATAAATGTTACCTTGCTCTCATTCCAACAGCACGTCACATTCTGAAAACCACCTTGTCTCCATTTGATCCTATCTAACACGTTCATGCATGCTTGCTGGAAGTCCAAGCCCCTTGCACACAAAACCTCCTAAATACTGTTCGCCTATATGTTTCACCGCAAACACTTAGTTTACACACCCCCCTATCCTTCCTAAAGCCGCCTTGTTCTTCTGCTATCCTAAGTGCTTTTATAAGTGTATTTTTGAGGGTCTGAAATAAACTAATGTAATTTACATTATTCCTCATGGACACTTGAATAGCCGTCTGGAACGAAGAAAGTTTGATATTTGAGGTGCCACTGCACAAAGTGAATCATGGAATTGATGAGGGAAAAAAGGGGAATGGTGCACTGAGGAATCTGTGGAGAATAAAGAACATTATCCGTGGAAGCAAAGAGGCGAATGTATGAGAGTATAGTTATACCAATGCTGTTATATGGGTGTCAAGCATGGGTGGGGAATGTTGCAACAAGGAGATGGCTGGAGGCTGTGGAGATGTCATGTTTGAGGGCAATGTGTAGTGTGAATATAATGCAGAGAATCCTTAGTTTGGAAATTAGGAGGAGGTGCAGGGTTACCAAAACTATTATTCAGAGGGCTGAGGAGGGGTTGTTGAGGTGGTTTGGACACTTAGAAAGGATTGAACAAAATAAAATGACTTGGAGAGTGTATAAATCTGTAGTAGAGGGAAGGTGGGGTAGGGGTCGGCATAGGAAAGGTTGGAGGGAGAGGGTAAAGGGGGTTTTGTGTGCGAGGGACTTCGACTTTCAGCAAGCATGCATAAGCGTGTTAGATAGGAGTGAATGGAGACAGATGGTTTTTAGGACCTGATGTGTTGTTGGAGTGTGATCAAGGTAACATTTATGAAGGGATTCAGGGAAACTGGCAGGCTGGACTTGAGTACTGGAGATGCTAAGTACAGTGCATACGCTGAAGGAGGTGTGTTAATGTTAAAGTTTTATAACTGTAGTGTAAGCGTTCCTCTGGCAAGACAGTGATGGAGTGAATGATGAAAGTTTTTCTTTTCAGGCCACCCTACCTTGGTGGGAAATGGCTGATGTGTTAATAAAATAAAATAATTTACTAAGTAATTTTAAGTAGATATAATTAAAATGTGTGGATGTTTTCAATTAATTCTAATTGTTTTGTCTTGTACCAGGAAGGAGTTGTGTATGCTGTTGAGTTTTCTCACCGCTCAGGACGTGACTTGGTAAATATGGCAAAGAAACGTACCAATGTAGTCCCCATTGTAGAGGATGCCCGTCACCCACACAAATACCGCATGATTTGTAGTATGGTAGATTGTATCTTTGCAGATGTGGCCCAACCTGATCAAGCCCGCATTGTTGCTATCAATGCCCAGTATTTCTTGAAAGTAGGTGGTCACTATGTCATATCCATCAAGGCTAATTGCATTGATTCAACTGCTCCATCTGAGGCTGTGTTTGCAGGAGAAATCAAAAAGCTTCAAGGTGACCTTCTCAAGCCCCAGGAACAGTTGACCCTAGAACCATACGAGAGAGATCATGCAGTAGTAGTGGGTGTGTACAGACCTCTGAAGAAAAACAAATAACTAGTGTGTTATAACATCAACTTTTTGTTATTTAAGAGCAGTGGGAGTGCTCTTCAGTGAATGGTATTCGTCTGATACTGCATGGTTCGTTAGCAGCATCTGACGCATATTGAAGACTGCAGGTTGACCTTGCATGTATAGGAATATACAGGACTGATGTTCACATGTTTAGGAACATTTTTTCAATTGAAATAATTTTCACACTCCTTGTGAGTTATTACTTACTGTTAAAAAATTGTGATGAACTTAAGCAAGTACATCAAGAAAAATATTCGGTATTCATGAAATAATGTCCTCTTATTTCTCTTTAACAAATTATTTTAAACTGTCAGTAAACTGTTGAATGAATTCTTGGGACTATATATTGTATGTACGTCTTTTTAATAAAAATTCACTTAGTGTTTATAGTTTAACTAAACCATTCAGAATTTTTCAAAGACCTGCTAATCATTACACAACTCCCTTCCTTCTTTCCCTCCCCCTCTCATATATATTCTGGCTATATTCATTCCATTTGCACTTCTATGTGACTACATGATGTTCCAGGTTGAACTGAAACGTTGTCATAAGCTTCAATCCCCTGTGTGTGGGTTCAAATTCAAATTCAAATATTTATTTCCTTGTAAAGCTTAAAATGTGTAGTTTACATGTTATAAAATTTTAATTACAAATGGCCCCACTATCATGCCTAGGCATTGGGCATTAAAACAAATTTTTTTACACTATTTTGAAAAAGGTTTAATTGGCAGTACATTTGAACGATTAATACGTAATTAGGTTGTGTAAAAAAAAATTAAAGCCATTTTCAGTATTTTTTAGTTTTTTTTTGGGGGATCAATTTTATTTCAAATTTTTACACTAATTAAAAAAGCAAGAATTTTTTAATTTTTTTTTTTAAAATACAAAAAATATTTTTTATAAATTGGCAAAATTTGGGCCCCACAACCTTGATATAGTATACCTTCGAGTTGCAAGGTTTTTTTTTTTACTGGGCTTTTCTGGGCAAACCATGTTTTTGCTCTATGGGCCCCTTTCCCATTAACACAAACTATGACCCGACACCTGGTAAAGTAATTTTCCAAGCGCAAATTTTTTCAAATATAGTACAGTGGAACCCCGGTTTTCATGGGGCCGGTTATCGTACAATTTTAGTTTTGACCACTTTTTTCGAAAATTTTTTTCCCGTTTTCGTACATTGCTCGGAAAAACGTCCATACCAACTCCCCTGGCCACAGGGCACTGTCACTGTATAGCTGCCGTTGTTACTTGTTCATGGCATTTCCCCTGCGTTCTTCCAAAAATTTCGAAAACCTTTTTTTTTTTTGCTTGGCTGCTAAATAACCCCAGGGCCAAAGAAAGTTCTGAGGGCCAGCCCTTTGGGAAAAAAAAGGAAAACATGATAGAATCAAGAAAAGGGCATGTAAAAAATCGGAATAGTGTAACATGGCCGAGTCACCAGGATTTGGGGGTCCAGTGACCAAGCTGGGCTAGTGCCCGTAAACAAGAAAAAAAGTAACCCCGGATAGGGCTTTGATACCTGAAGTCCTTATGGAGAGGGATTCCCCCTTCCAAACAACAAACTCTCCTCCCTCTCCCCTCCTCCCTCTCCCCTCCTCCCTTTCTCCCCTCCTCCCTCTCCCCTCCTCCCTCTCCCCTCCTCCCTCTCCCCTCCTCCCTCTCCCCTCCTCGCCATCTTCCATACACCACCAAGAGTCTTCAATATAGGTAAAACTGATTTAAATGTTCATTTATCCATTAAAATTAGTGCTTTATATTAATTTCTCATTGTTTTCTGTATGTAAAACTAAAGTTATTCTCTATAAAATTTATTTTTTGTTAATATTTTTGGGTGTCTAGAATGGATTAATTAGATTTATATTATTTCTTATGGGAAATATTACTTCAGTTTTTGTACAAATTGGTTTTTGGTCACCCTTCTGCAATGGATTAAAGACGAAAACCGGGGTTCCACTGTACTTCCAGTTGTCATAATATACCAGTCTTAGCTCAGCTGGTATGTTTTTGGCTCTCACTGAGAGACTTGTTGATCAGGCAAGCACTAGAGTATTTCTACTCCCAGAGCCTGGCCTATGGCTGGGCTCTGGGAGTAGAAATACTCTGAACTCATCTAAGGTAAAGGTGCTGGTGAAATGTTGGGCAAGTGTCCTTACACCTTCTGTCCCTGTTCACTTAGCAGTAAGTAGTCACCTGGGTGTTAAATCAGATTACACCTGCTGTCCCTGTTCACTTAGCAGTAAGTAGGTACCTGGGTGTTATGCCACTTTACACTGTTTTCCCACTTCACTTAGTAAGTACGTACCTGGGTGTTAAATCACCTTACACCTGCTGTCCCTGTTCACTTAGGAAGTAGGTACCTGGATGTTACATCACCTCACACCTGCTGTCCCTATTCACTTAGCAGTAAGTAGTCACCTGGGTGTTACATCAGATTACACCTGCTGTCCCTGTTCACTTAGCAATAAGTAGGTACCTGGGTGTTATGTCACCTTACACCTGCTGTCCCTGTTTACTTAGTAAGTGGTACCTGAGTGTTACATAACCTTACACCTGCTGTCCCTGTTCACTTAGCAGTAAGTAGGTACCTGGGTGCTATGTCACCTTACACCTGCTGTCCCGTTTCACCTGGCAGTAATACTCTCCCTGATGGTGAGTCTATCCCTGAAGGCGAGTATCCCTGAAGGTGAGTCTATCCCTGACGGTGAGTCTGCCTGAAGGTGAGTCTATCCCTGACGGTGAGTCTGTCTGCTTGAAGGTGAGTCTCGGCCTGAATGTGAGTTTGCCTGAAGGTGAGTCTCCCTGAATGTGAGTATCTGCCTGAAGGTGAGTCTCCCTGAATGTGAATCTCTCCCTGAATGTGAGTCTTTCCCCGAAGGCCTCTCTCTCCCTGAAGGTGAGTTTGCTTGAATAGTCTTCCCAAGGGAGTGTCCCCCAAAAATGGGGGTGCCCCAAAGGTGAGTGCTCCCCGAAGGGGTGTCCCCCCGAAGGTGAGTGTCCCTCCCTGAAGGTGTCTCCCTAAAAGTGAGTGCCTTAAGGGAGTCTCTCCCAAAAGGGGTGAGTCTCCTAAGGTGCCCTCTCCACTAAAGGGACCCCTAAAGGGTCGCCTAAGGGTGGAGGAACCCATCACGACAGGGCCGGGACATGTGAGGCACGGGCTCAGCAAAGTGTCGTCCCTTCTGTTAGCTGATTCTTTTTACCCCCTTTTAACTGCCTCGGGTCACCCATTTGGCTGGGGGCGGGGGGATTGTTGTCCCGGTCATCCAGGTGGGGGTGAGGACTTGCTGCCAGTCATCCAGGGGGTAGGGATTGTTGTCAGGTCCCCAGGGATGGGGAACTGGGAAAACCATTTTTTAGGGCACCCCGGGGAGGGAGTGGGGAAACCTGTTGTCAGGGCACCCGGAAAATGGGGACTGAGAACCTGTTATCAGGTTACCAGGTGACTGGGGAACTGGGAACCTGTTGTCAGGTCACCCAGGTGACTGGGGAAGCTGGGAACCGTTTTCAGTCACCCAGTGACTGGGGAGCTGGGAAACCTGTTGTCATTCACCCAGGTGACCTGGGGGAGCTGGAAACCTGTTGTCAGGTCACCCAGGTGACGGAGCTGGGAACTAATTGTCAGGTCACCCATGACGGGGGAAACTGGAACCCGGTTGTCGGGATCACCCAGGTGATGGGGAAAGCTGGGAACCTTTGTCAGGTCACCCGGGTGACTGGGGAGGCTGGGAACTTGCCCAGGTCACCCAGGTGACTGGGGAAGCTGGGAAAACCCTGTTGTCAGGTCACCCAGTGACTGGGGAAGCTGGGAACCTGTTGTCAGGTCACCCGGGGAAACGGGGGAAGCTGGGAACCTGTTGTCAGATCACCCCAGGTGACTGGGGAGCTGGGAAACCTGTTGTCTGGTCACCCAGGTGACTGGGGGAAGCGGGAACCTGTTGTCAGGTCACCCAGGTGACTGGGGAAGCTGGGAACCTGTTGTCAGATCACCCAGGTGAACTGGGGGAGTTTGGGAACCTGTTGTCAGATAAACCGGGTTTGATTGGGGAAGCTGGAACCTGTTGTCAGGTCACCCAGGGTGACGGGGAAAAGCTGGGAACCTGTTGTCAGATCACCCAGGTGACTGGGGGAGCTGGGAACCTGTTGTCTGGTCACCCAGGTGACTGGGGAAGCTGGGAACTTGTTGTCAGGTCACCCAGGTGACTGGGGAGCTGGGAACCTATTGTCAGGTCACCCAAATGACTGGGGAATCTGGGAACCTGTTGTCAGATCACCCAGGTGATTGGGGAAGCTGGGAACCTGTTGTCAGGTCACCCAGATGACTGGGGAGCTGGGAACCTGTTGTCAGGTCACCCAGATGACTGGGGAAGCTGGGAACTTGTTGTCAGGTCACCCAGGTGATGGGAGCTGGGAACCTGTTGTCAGGTCACCCAGGTGACTGGGGAAGCTGGGAACTTGTCAGGTCACCCAGGTGACTGGGGAAGCTGGGAACCTGTTGTCAGGTCACCCAGGTGACTGGGGAAGCTGGGAACCTGTTGTCAGGTCACCCAGGTGACTGGGGAAGCTGGGAACCTGTTGTCAGGTCACCCAGGTGACTGGGGAGCTGGGAACCTGTTGTCAGGTCACCCAGATGACTGGGGAAGCTGGGAACCTGTTGTCAGATCATCCAGGTGATTGGGGAAGCTGGGAACCTGTTGTCAGGTCACCCAGGTGACTGGGGAAGCTGGGAACCTGTTGTCAGATCACCCAGGTGACTGGGGGAGCTGGGAACCTGTTGTCTGGTCACCCAGGTGACTGGGGAAGCTGGGAACTTGTTGTCAGGTCACCCAGGTGACTGGGGAGCTGGGAACCTATTGTCAGGTCACCCAAATGACTGGGGAATCTGGGAACCTGTTGTCAGATCACCCAGGTGATTGGGGAAGCTGGGAACCTGTTGTCAGGTCACCCAGATGACTGGGGAGCTGGGAACCTGTTGTCAGGTCACCCAGATGACTGGGGAAGCTGGGAACCTGTTGTCAGGTCACCCAGATGACTGAGGAAGCTGGGAACTTGTCATCACCCAGGTGGCTGGGGAAGCTGGGAACCTGTTGTCAGATCACCCAGGTGATTGGGGAAGCTGGGAACCTGTAGCCAGGTCACCCAGGTGACTGGGGAAGCTGGGAACCTGTTGTCAGATCACCCAGGTGGCTGGGTGAGCTGGGAACCTGCTGTCAGGTCACCCAGGTGGCTGGGGGAGCTGGGAACCTGTTCGCTGTATAATCCTCCGGGTTTAGCGCTTCCCCTTGATTAAAATAATAATAATAATGGGAACCTGTTGTCAGATCACCCAGGTGATTGGGGAAGCTGGGAACCTGTTGTCAGGTCACCCAGATGACTGGGGAAGCTGGG